CCAAGTTTACCATTGGAAATTTATCGTTCTTAGATAAATTTGAGCTGAGAGAGGCAGGCCTGAATGTGGATACTATTGTCTGATTAAAATATCATGTTTTAATAGCGCAGAACAAGAAGCAATGGGTGGAAACGAATCAAGGGGAGAAGCAACTTAGAACTAAGGAGAAATTTCCTGACGGTTAGAACAATTAATCAGTGGAACAGCTTGCCACAAGAAGTTCTGAATGCTCCAACACTGGAGGGTTTTTCAGAAGAGACTGGACATCCCCCTGACTGAAATGGTCTCGGGTCTCCTGCTTGAGCAGGAGGCTGGGCTAGAAGACCTCCAAGGTCCCCTCCCAACTCTGTTATTCTGTTCTGTTCAGCATGTTCCTCACTTTCATAGAATCATCGGGCGGGAACAGACATTGGAGGTCATCTAGTCCAACCCCTGCTTGAAGATGAATCCTTATACAGTACTATCTCAGACAAATGGCTGTCCGGTCTTCCTGAAAAATCTACAGTGATGGAACAGCCACAATATTATTAAGAGTGGAGTGGAGTGGAGTAGAATAGAGAATAGTAGAATAGAGAATAGAGAACAGAGAATAGAGTAGAGTAGAACAGAGAGTAGAGTAGAATAGAGAATAGAATAGAATAGAATAGAATAGAATAGAATAGTACAGAGAGTATAGAGAATATAGTAGAGTAGAGTAGAGAATAAGAGTATAGATAATAGAATAGAGTAGAATAGAGAGTAGAGTAGAACAGAAAATAGAGTAGAATAGAGAATAGAGTAGAATAGAGTAGAATAGAGAATAGAGCATAGATAATAGAGTAGAGTAGAATAGAATAGAGAGTAGAGTAGAGTAGAATAGAGAGTAGAATAGAGAATAGAGTAGAATAGAGAATAGAGTATAAAGAATATAGAGAATAGAGTATAGATAATAGAGTAGAGTAGAATAGAGAGTACAGTAGAATAGAGTATAGAGAATATAGAGAATAGAGTAGAGAAGTATAGAGAATATAGATAATAGAGTGAGTAGAATAGAGAGTAGAGTAGAATAGAGAATATAGAGAATAGAGGAGAATAGAGTATAGATAATAGAGTAGAGTGGAATACAGAGTAGAGTAGAATAGAGTAGAATAGAGTATAGATAATAGAGTAGAGTAGATTAGAGTGTAGAGTAGAATAGAGAGTAGAGTTGAGTAGAGTAGAGTAGAGTAAATAGGGTAGAGAACAAAGTAGAGTAGAGTAGAATAGAGAGTAAGTAGAGTAGAGTATAGAGTAGGATAGAGTAGAGTAGAAAATAGAATAGAGAATGGAATAGAATAGAATAGAATAGAATAGAATAGAATAGAATGTGCTTGGTAAGTACCGTAACTACATAAACATCATAACATTTTTACATTTTGATTGTTTCATTGCAGCACTCAGAATTCATTGCAGACGAATATTCAGACTTTTGAAAATGGACTCATATTTACGACGGTCGCAATGTCCTGGAGTCACGTGATCCCTTTTGCAAACTTCCAGGCAAGCCAGGTCAACAGGGAAGCCAGATTCACTTAACGACCATGTGACTAACTCACCAACTGCCATGCTTCATTTAACCACCGCGGCAAGAGAGGTGGCAAAATGGAGCAAAACTCACTTAACGAGTATCTCGCTTAGCAACCGAAATGTTGGGCTCAATATTGGTCGTAAGTCGAGGACTGCCTGTAATTTTTCCCACCCCCACCCCACCCCTCCTTTCTGTAAGCCAAGGGGGGGGATTCGTACCCACCATAATACAAAGCAAAAACAACAGCCGCTGCGGCGAACGATCCGAAGAACTGTCCAATCACGTACGCCGGGAGTTTGCTCCAAAGTACATTTCCAACTACGCAATTGGCGAAAGTGATGGACGCATTCAGGTGAGCCCCTTGGGGTGACAAAGAGAACGGGGGAAGAACTGTTAGGATAGTTGCAGGAAGGCGAATGGCAATCAAGTTGTTTCTGTCTGTCTGTCTTTCTTTCTTTCTTTCTTTCTTTCTTTCTTTCTTTCTTTCTTTCTTTCTTTCTTTCTTT